TCTGTTCTCTCCATTTCTGAGAAGCCCTGAGGACACAGGGAGGGCCCCTTCTCCCCGTTTCCCTTCCCCTTCCTATTGCTTCAGTGCCATCTGCCCTGACATTCATCTGCATTGTTTCCACCCTTTGTCTCTCTTCATGTCAGCCTGAGGGAGTCCTTGTGGAGAAGACATACAGCTCCTTGCTTTGCCCAAAAGGTGGGTGAATGCAGAGAGGGGTTGGTGCTGAGAATCCCTATCAGCAACAGGAGATTTTTGTAGGCCAGGTGAGGAATACGTAGCAAAGAAGGGGTAGGAGAGAGTCTGGGGTGCTATCCCCTAATAGGGCCAATTAGCTGAGAGACAGGATGAAGAATAAAAAACCTACAACACGATTATGGGTTTTTTGGGACTTTATTTTCAGCAGAGAACACTATGAACAGGTTAAAAAAATTTTGCCTCCAACCCACAGAAAGCACTGGGTACAGAAAACCCTGGATTATAGAAAGTTTTTCTATGGTTTGGACTTGAACTCGCAGTATGTCCACCTTCTCTACTTTCTCCTTTTCTCTGCCTCTCACAGGACAAGTGGCTTCAGAGTCCATCTCCCTAGAGATCCCTGTGGATGTTGTTCCTGATTCAAGCAAGGCTTATGTTACGGTTCCGGGTAAATAGCCAGAGATTCTTGCTCAAAAGAAAAAAAGTGGGGCTGAAATCTGCCAAAACATGGAGTGGATTGGGGCCTGTGGACCTATCTGAAGGAAGTCGTGTTAGATTAGAAGTGACAGAAGAGCTTATTTTATATAGTCGGCAAATATACCCTGTAGGTAACAGTACATGTGGGATTAGATGTATATGATAGTTAAAAACAGGAGTCTGGACAGGAGGAAGTTAAAGATCAGAGAAGCTTCGTACGTATTTAGGTTCAGGTGGTCTATAAATTGAGTGGAGGAGAAACACAGTGTTTGTAGCAGCCATTTAAAAAATGAGGAATTTATGTGTTTGAGTATAGTTAGGGAAGATAAAAGCATATTTACACAGATAGGACACTTCACTCCTCTGGGCAAGGAGAGGGATTGAGTAGAAAAGCCTGAGCTTGAAAATCATACCAAATTGGGTTGGGATCCAAGTTGTGCCATTCGATAACCACGTGACCTTTAATAAATAAGTGAACAATTCTGATGCTTTTTTACCCCTTCTGCAAGACACTAATGATAACCTACCTCTCAGGATTGGTGTAAAAATTAAATATAAAGTTTCCACCATAATATCTAGCAGATAGTAGGAGCCCTGGACGAGTTAGATTATTTCTTTATTCTTATTCCCTACCAAGATCCCTTCCAGGTTAAAATTTCTCTATTTGGACTGTATTTGATTCATACTTGTCGTATATCACTCATCTTATTGTAGTATAGCTCACTGTCTACGTCTGTCTTTCACACTGCCTTGCGGGCTCCTTGAGGATAAGGGCCATGTCTTTTTTTACTTCTGGTCCCAGTACAGTTCCTGCCAAATAGTTGACCTTCAGTACGTATTTATAGATTTGAGCTTAACTTGATGGCTAAAGTGCAGATCTTAATGGGTCACTTATGTCAGACTTACTGGTTTATAAAATAAATATATGGACGGGTCAGTAGCTATCCCTGGAAAACGGTGTCAGGATTGTGGTGCTTTGGAAGATAATGTATTTATAAGCAGCGGAGGACTTAGAGATTGAGTCTAAGTATTGCAGGTTTTGTTAGGTCACTCACCAGCCCCAGTGACATGTCTTCTTAAAAGTCCTGAACTGCCTTAGGTAGCCTATGTACCTCTCTGTGTACTCTAGCACCTTGTACGAACCCAGTATTATAGTGCTATATTGTAATTGTTTATAATGAATTTTACTTGCAGTGTTCTGTCATTGTTTGCCCCTCTGATTATGATCCTTTGAGGTAAAGACTGTATCTGACTTATTGTCTCCCAGGCACAGTGTGGGTACTCAACTAAATGGTTGCTGATACATGTTTGTTAAATGAATGACAGTAACTCACAAGGGCTCCTTCTTTCTCCTCTCTACCATCATCACTCTCTCTCTCCTTTTGGATCTCAGGAGACGTTATGGGCACAGCCCTGCAGAACCTAGAACAATCTGGTACAGATGCCAAACGGCTGTGGGGAGCAGAACATGGTCTTGTTTGCTCCCATAATCTACGTCTTGCCGTACCTGGAGAAGGCAAGGCTGCTCACTGAGGAAATCAGGTCTCGGGCTGTGGGTTTCCTGAAGCTAGGTGAGTCGGTTCAATCTTTTCTTCTTGGACACGTTCTCTAGAGCCTAATGATAGTTTAATAAGATACAGGTGGATTCCCCCTGAAGTGTCCCGCACCCTTGAAAGCCTTGAAAGCATGTGTTTTGAAGTTGTCCCTGTGATCTAACATCATATCTGGCTTCCCAGGGTACCAGAAGGAGCTAACGTACAAACACAGCGATGGCTCATACAGTGCCTTTGGGGAGCAGGATGGAGATGGAAACACATGGTAATATTGCCCAGGTCTCAGTGTACCCCAGAACATAATTCCTGGGCCTGTGAAACTATTCCTCTACCTCTCCTCTTAACCCCATTCCTTCTTATACCCACCCTCTCTACCTCTTTAATACTGTTTATTTCAGCCTCACGTATGGTCAAGCCCCTCACCCTTCTCCCTGACTTTGGGCTTCCCTAGTTCTTGTCCCCATTAATGCCCATTAAGACCTCCCTTTTCTAGGCTCCTATGGCATTATGTTGCCTTAATCCCCTTCTGGAACACTATACCAAAATAAACTGTAGAACTATTGTACCCTTGCTGGGAAATCCCCCTTCATGCCACACTTCCTTCTTTACCCACATAGGCTGACAGCGTTTGTCACCAAATGCTTTGGCCAAGCTCAAGAATTCATCTTCATTGATGACAATAGTATCCAAGATGCTCTCAAGTGGATGGCAGTAAACCAGCTCCCCAGCGGTTGCTACGCCAGTGTGGGAACTTCGCTCATTCACGCAGCTATGAAGGTGCAAATCTGCCCCCGGGCCTTCAACCCACTACCATGTCTGGGAGGACTTTGCACCTCTGACTGAGCAGAATGAAAAGAGCATAAGCTTGGGAGTCAGTGTTCTTCAGGTCTCAGGCCTGGCTTCGGATGACCTTGGTCACTATACTTAACCAGTCTGAGCCTCAGCTTCTATGTCTGTAGAATGGGAATGTGTACTGGCACATGGCTCTCATGGTGCGGTCCTCAGATCAGCAGCATTAACAGCACCTGAGAACTTGTTTCAAATGCAAATTCCAGTGCTACCCCAACCTACTCTGAGAAACTCTGGGAGTGTGGGCTAGCAATTTGTATTTTTAACAAGCCCTCGAGTTGGTTCTGATATTCATGGAAGTGTAAGAACCACTGGACTAGTTCTCTGGGTTTTTTACTATCTCCCTAAATCTGCAGCAAGCCCATCTGCTCTGGGGAGGACTGATAGGCAGCCCAGTGTTTTTTGTAAGAGGTTTACTATGTGCCGGGCACTGTTCTAAGTACTTCGTTTATTTGATATTATTTAATGTTTACAACAAATTAATGAGCTAGCTGCTGGTATGTCATTATTAATCCCATTTTACAGATGAAGAGACTAATGTGCAGAGATTAAGTGAATTGCCCAAGGTGAATGCTAATGCATGATAGGACTGTCATTTGAACCACAGCCACTGGACTCCAGAGGCCCTGCTCTGGCCTGTTCACTACATTGCCCCTACCCTCCTTCCCAAACACAGGGTGAGGTGTTGATGCTTCCAGAGAATTTGTTCAATTCAGAATATACCCAGTGGAAGAAAGATTTGTGTGTATGTTACTAGAGAAATCATTTACACTGCTGTTCCCGGGCCTGGATTAAAAATCTTGAGCATTAAAAAAAAAAAGTCTGTATAGAATTCATTAGTTTTCCTTATGCAAGATTTTATCCGTGCCCTCCAAGGCTCTCTCCTCTGACGCACTGTGTGAAATACACATGGGAGGAGCACAAGCCAGGGCTTTCTTACCAGACCTGGCCAGTCTTTTAAGAAACCCATCACCTGTGTAGCAAGGTTAGTGGTGTGGTGCAGGAGCTCCATATTTAAACTCCATGCGTTCACACCCTAGTCCTGCTGCTTACTAGCTGTGTAATCTCGAGCAAGCCGTTTAATCTTTCAGGTGTTTGTGTTTTCTTACTATAGGATGAGGATGACAATTTAGATTAGCTGTTTTTAAAAACTTGCTAATATCTTTCTGTGAAAGGCATTAAACAGGGCAGGTGTCACCTAATCTCTCCTGGAGAATAGGCTGGTCCTTCTTGAGAGGATGTCCGTTTGAGGAGGCTCAGATTCAGTAAGAACCTGAGAAGAAGAGATTTTCACCTTATCCCCTCGTTTGTTGAAGTAATCCACCCATTCAGAGGGGACGCACACAATGTTGCAAACTGCACACAATTCTTACATACATTGTGCTGGCTGCCGCCCTGGCTGAGTCTCTCCGGCACCCTCTAGGGCGGCGTTGGTGATGAGCTTTCCCAGATGGCGTACCTCAGAGCGGCATAGCTGGAGATGGGAAAGACCACACATTTATTTATTTATTTGAGGGGGGGCTCTAGCTCCTTTTTATATCCTTCCTTCTGCACCTCGTTCTAGAGGAATTCACCGACTTTTTTTTTTTTTAAGATTTTATTTATTTATTTGACAGAGAGAGGGCGCAAGAGACCACAAGCAGGGGGAGTGGGAGAGGGAGAAGCAGGCTTCCCGCTGAACAGAGGGCCGGATGCGGGGCTCGATCCCAGGACTCTGGGATCATGACCTGAGCTGAAGGCAGCCGCTTAACCGGCTGAGCCACCCAGGCGTCCCTAATTCACCGACTTTTAATCCCTGTTCACCCTTGTAAACTCAAAAAGGATATAATGACTTCCTTATCACTTCCCATTTCCCAAGGAATGCCTTATGAATTCAGTTCTTCCTCTCACTTTCCAGGACCTGATGGTGAGTCAGGGTCTGCAGTGCCTCAGGGGCTCGGTTTCCTCCACTACCAGCCTCTACACACAAGCCCTCCTCGCTTATACTTTCTCTCTGGCTGGGGAGATGGACATCAGAAACGCTCTTCTCGGAAAGTTAGACCAGCAAGCTATCATCTCAGGTATGTTAGCCATGTTAGGAGTTTTTTGAAATTATGAAAATATGCTGTGAGTTATCTATAATTTTCCTTAGTCTCCATAGTCCCACATAAATTCTATCATATATAGGGTTCCTTTTAGGAAGAGTTGTAAAGTCATTAGATCATTGTTGAGAGTTTTGTGAGAAAATGCATGGAAGTCCTTAAAAGGCACTGTTATACTTTTAGCATGGAGAGGAACGAGATGGTGGAAGCTAGTCAGAAGACCTATGGGTGTTGTAGAATCACCCTTTGGTAGGTCTTTAACAGTTCTTTGGTACGAGATCACTGAGATGATGGGGTAAGAGTTAAACTTGGAAACTTAGAGCTTATTTTTTTTTTTTTGAGAGAAGGATGGGGATGGGGAGGGGCAGAGGGAGAGGGAGAGAGAGAATATTAAGCAAGCTCCACGCCCAGTTGGTTAAGGGTCCCACTCCTGGTTTCAGCTCAGGTCATGATCTCAGGGTCGTGGGATCGAGCCCGGTGTCAGGCTCCGTGCTCTCTCTCTCCTTCTTCCTCTGCCCCACCCCCAACTTGCACAAGCCCCCCCCCAAATAAATAAATAAATCTTTAAAAAAAAGTTAAACTTTTAATTAAGTAAAATAAAGGCTGAAAAATTAGACTTAAAATTCTATAAGCCAAAAAAAAAAATGCCCCCAAACACATAAGATTCTTATAAGTTTCTACTAACCTATCTCCACTAGCATTAGAATTTACAAATTAACAAGAGTGGTTTTCATGTAATTGCTGGAGGCATTTATTGATCCTCTCAGCTTCATCTTGGGGAATGATGTATCGCTCTACACACACATCCCTATGGAAACATTATGGCCAATATATCAGAAGATTTTGAGAAATATTTTTTTCTAACTCATGCTTAATTTTTGGTTGGTACTTGCTCTGCTCTAAGGTGCAGCATTTACAAATTGAATACGAGAAATCATTTCCTTTTAAGACCTTCCTAATTATGCTTCTTTCTCCATAGGAGAGTCCATTCACTGGAGCCCAAAGCCTGCTCCGTCAGTGGATGCCAGACCTTGGTCTCAGCCTGAGGCTGTAGATGTGGAACTGACAGCATATGTATTACTGGCCCAGCTTAGCACAGCCAGCCTGACTCAAAAAGAGATTGCCAAGGACACTGCCATAGTGGCTTGGTTGGCCAAGCAACGTAATGCATATGGGGGCTTCTCTTCTACTCAGGTAAATAGCCTCCTCTCCAACTGCCAACTCCATTCTTTTTTATCAGGTAGGATTAGGTCCTTTGTGGAGATAGGAAAACAACAACAACAAAACAAAGCTGTTGCCCTTGACGTCTAGGTCAAGGTACTTATAATTCTTTTTTTTTTTTAATTTTATTTATTTATTTGAGAGGGAGAGACACAGCAAGAGAGGGAACACAAGCAGGGGGAGTGGGAGAGGGAGAAGCAGCCTCCCCACAGAGCAGGGAGCCTGATGTGGGGCTCAGTCCCAGGACCCTGGGATCATGACCTGAGCCAAAGGCAGACGCTTAACGACTGAGCCACCCAGGCGCCTGAAGGTACTTATAATTCTATAGGGAGGGAGAAAAAGCATGTGAAAAATAGTAAGATTCATAACACTGGGATGTATGAACACATATATAGCGCTATATACATTTTATGCTCTTTCTTTTTTTAGAGTATGAGACATCTTGAGATCAATATTTTACATGTGAATAGGACATATATAATTATGGCTAAATTATAGATTAACAGATCAGAAGGCTAATTATGGGATTGGAAGCATAAAAGCAAGGTTTTACTCTTTTACTTCTACTATTGAATGTATTGGGAAGCTAATAAGATATATAATCTTTACTCTAAATAAAATTTACAAACTAGTGGGTGCCTGGGTGGCTCAGCAGTTGAGTGTCTGCCTTTGGCTTGGGTCATGATCCTGGGGCCCAGGGATCAAGCCCCGCTTCTGGCTCTCGGCTCGGCAGGGAGTCTGCTTCTCCCTCTCTTGCTCCCCCTGCTTGTGCTCTCTCTCTCTCTCTGTCAAATAAATAAATAAAATCTTTAAAAAAATAATAAAAAGTTTACAAACTAGAAGTAAAGTTAGGAAAAGTTCTATAATTACAGAGCAGGATTTGGTTATATAACATAAGAAAGATACAAAAGGTACAAAATAATGCATTTCAAAAGGGAGAGAGCTTGTATCAACTTGAAGGATGAGAAAAGTCTTCAGGGGCATGGCATTTGAGATAGATCTAGAAGGATATGTAGTGATGCCTGGCTGGCTCGGTCGGTAGAGCCTGTGACTCTTCTTGCGGTTCTGAGTTCAAGCCCCACATTGGGTGAAGAATCTACTTAAAAAATAGGTTAGATTAGATAGATAAAATAAAAGGGTATGTGTGATTGTGAGAGACAGCTATTGAAAGGAGGAGGAAATGGCTTGAGCAGAGACAACAGTTTGCAAAAGTATAGAATGACTGTTGGGAAAACTGGGTTAGCTAAAGCATAATGGGACTTCAGTTTAGAAAGTTAAGGCAGCTTTATACCATGAAGGCCCTTTCATATCAGACTCAACATTTTGCCCAATTCTGAGGAGCTATTAATTTTTTTTAACCTTGTTTCAGAAAGATTGACCTGTTATTGGTGTAGGGGGTGACTTAGAGGAGGAAGACACTGGATTTGAAGAGATAAGGACACTATTTTCATTTTCCTAGGTTAGGGGTAAGGAGAAATTGAATTAGTTGGGTGGCAGTAAGGGAAAAAAGGTAGAATTGCATGATGAATTCGAATACCATCATAAAAATTGTCTTAAATGATCATGAAGAGAGTAATCATTAATTCATTTGTTCTGCAAATGGTATTAAATACATGTCCAATTCACTTGTGAAGATTATATTCTGACTTATTGAAATTAGGGCCAGTTTCACTGAGGATGTAACATGTAAATTAGACCTGGAAACAGAATAGATTTTAATTGATACAGTGTTTGGTAAAGATGTCAAGAGCACTGAGCTTGAATATGGTAAAGACTTAACTGGAATTTTTTTAGTTATATGGTACTATGCTTCCTTACTTCAAGGAAATTCTTGGACTTTCTTCTTCTTGCTGAGCCCTAAATAATTATGATATACAATTTTAGAAAGCAGTGGGTGAAATGTTTAGAACACTCAGTGACAATATATGTCAAATTGTTTTTCAGTAAAATCCTTAGCTATTAGAAGAAGTCACAAGGCACCTACATGGGTTTTTCAGTTAATGTTGAGGTCTCTCTCTCTCTTTTTTTTTTTTAAGATTTTATTTATTTATTTGACAGAGAGAGATACAGCGAGAGAGGGAACACAAGCCGGGGGAGTGGGAGAGGGAGAAGCAGGCTCCCCGCTGAGCAGGGAGCCCAATGTGGGGCTCTTTCCCAGGATCCTGGGATCATGACCTGAGCCAAAGGCAGACGCTGAACGACTGAGCCACCCAGGCACCCCTGAGGTCTTATTCCTTGAATTGTTTCCACATATTCGAGCAATAAGGACCTCCTTGGACCCCATTCACAGAGAGTAGACAAAAAAGTTGTTTGTAGATGGTTAACTGCACAGCTCTCACCGATTCACAACTTCCCCAGGGTGGGTGACCTGTCTTCCTATTTTTATATGACAGTATGATGTCTAAATACAACTGTTCTTTTTAATTTGGGAGAGGAAGAAGTGGGGTTCCTTGATTCTGTAGATACTGTACAAAGTGTCGAGCAGGTAGACATACTCGTAGCAGTAAAATACAACAATTTTCTGAACATCTCATTCTTTTTTGTCTTTCCTTTAGTTGTAATGTATATAAATCATGTTTTCAGAATGGAGAAGTTCCAACCACATGATGCCATGCTCTCTTAGTGGCAGTTTATCTGTCTTATACCCAAATGAAGAAAGATTGTCACATGGCACAGTGGTGAGGAAGGAAGCCTTGGCTTGCAAGAAAGGATCCCAGCTGTGCCATAGAAGATCATTACACAGCTAAATAACTTTGAAGAATGGGCAATTTTTAGGGCTATCATGTCACTGCTGTTTCCTCTCCAAATAAGGAAACTGCAAACTGTATACTGAACAGTTCTCCACTTGCTTCTAACCCTAGCCCATTCTGAAGCTAGGCTTGGTTGCATATGAATAGGAAAATAGCCTAGTGACCTATAGATGTTTAATACTAGCTTGATAGCAATTTTCTGTACAGGCAAGATATGATTTCTATGTTAGCTTCCACAGCATTGGTGAACGTGCTTCTTAGTTACTTAGAGGAGGTATCGTCCCAGCTGGAGAACAACCACCAGACGTGTAGTTTGTAGGGTTGTTGGAGGTTAATGCCAGTGGCTCACGGAATGTAAGCGAATGTTCGATTGTTCCCTTTAGGATACTGTAGTTGCTCCAGCTCTCGCCAAATACGCCACTACTGCCTATGTGTCATCTGAGGAAGTCAACCTGGCTGTAACATCCACTGAGAATTTCCAGCACGCTTTCAACATTCAGGCTGCCAACCGGTTGGTACTTCAGCAGGAGACTCTGCCCAATGTCCCTGGGGTGTACACCCTGGAGGCCTCTGGCCAGGGCTGCATCTATGTGCAGGTAAGCAGTGGTCCATGAGAACAAGCATGCATTGGGAAGGAGAGTTTGAGGGCAACTTTGCCTCCACGGGAACATTTTCTCTATCTTATTTGTAAAGAGAATCGTTTGGACTGTGCGATAAAGTTCTTCCCAACTGTGATTTTGTTCTCTATTTCCCCCTGCTAGATGGTGCTGGAATACCATATCCCCCCTCCTAAATTTGCGGACACCTTTAGTCTTAGTGTGGAAATGGGAAAAGCTAAATGTGAGCAAGCTATTCCACTTTAATCCTTGACGCTCGCTATCCATACCAGGTGAGAAAAGCTGAGCTGGTGGTGGGGGCACCTGGATCACAGAAGCTGAGTGTGTGTGTGTGTGTGTGTGTGTGTGTGTGTGTGTGTGTGTGTGTGTTGCAGATACAGAGTATGCTAAGAAGGAAAATAATGGGTTCACACTGATGTGCTCCTTTCTGCCCTTAGTTATGTAGGGAGTCACAGCTCTTCCAATATGACCATTGTAGAAGTGAAGGTGCTTTCCGGGTTCAGTCCATGGAGGGCACCAATCAGTTAGTAAGTCTGTTCTGCATTTAACATTATCCCTAAAAAGCTGGTGAAGTGGGCATCGTGGTATACACATACAACCCGTGATTGCATTGTTTCAGGGGGCTACAAAAGTGCATCAGATACATAAAACAGAAACTGGAATAATCTTGGCCCTTTTTCTTACCTTTTCCACAGTATATATTATTTCCTTGATCATGAAAGAACTTTGGAATATTACCCTAGGGGATAGGGAAGGCTGGATCTTAGTCCGTTTTATTTTCCCCTTTTTTTATTCAGCTTCTGCAACAACCTCTGGTGAAGAAGGTTGAATCTGGAACTGACATACTGAACATTTACTTGGAAGATGTAGGTATTCAGAAGTGAACCTAAGAACTTGATTGCTTATATAGCTTTGCAACTTCTCTTCTCATCTCTGTACACTAGTGTCAAACACACAGGGATGAGGGAATGGAGAGACTGAGTCCACAACCACAAAATGAATTCTACCTCCACGCTGGTATTCTATAAAATACTCTTATTCACCTCCAGGGTGGTACTGTCTAAGAGATGCGGAGTGTGAGCCGTCTATGTCCTTTAAAAATGTGTAGGCCAGAATGTGACTATTTTAAATACAGTGGTCAGGGAAGGCCTCTCTGAAGAGATGTTATCTGATCAGAGACCGCAACGAAGAGAGAAAACCAATAGGGAGCATAGAACTGTTGAAATAAAATGAAAGTTTCTGTTTCTTTGGCCACTTCAGTTACTTTAGCGGAGGAACCATGGGTTAGAGGAGACCAAGAACAGAAGGGATCAATTTACCGAAGAGCCAGGGAGCTGTAAGATCCTAAGAAAGAGTCAGGAAGTCAGCAGAAGCCAGGATCTTTAGAACGGGCATGGAAAGGGGGGCAGGTAGAAGGGTTTCAGAAAATCTGTGTAAGACAAGTCTTGTTTTTCTTTTTTTAAGGGAGGTTTTTTTTTTTTTTAAGATTTTATTTATTTATTTGACAGAGCACGAGCTGGGGGGAGGGACAGAGGGAGAAGCAGAAATAAAAAGGGTAGCTTACTAGGATCTTCTGTGAATGTTTCTTGAGTCACTGGAGTCACATCTGAATAAAAAAAAAGCAGAAAACATTTTTTTAATTAAAAATTTTTTAAAGATTTTATTTATTCATTTGTGAGAGAGAAAACATTAGCGGGGGAGGGGCAGAGGGAGAGAGAGAAGGAAACTCCTCGCTGAGCGGAGAACCTCTACCTGGGGCTCGATTCCAGGACCCTGGGATCATGACCTGAGCTGAAGGCAGATGCTTAACCGACTGAGCCACCCAGGCGCCCCCAAGACAAGAGTCTTTTAACCTCCACATAGAGAGTGTTATTTTCACTTTAGTTGTTTTTTTTTGAGATTTTATTTATTTGACAGAGAGAAATAGAGTGAGAGAGGGAACACAAGCAGGGGGAGTGGGAGAGGGAGGGAGAAGCAGGCTTCCCGCTGAGCAGGGAGCTCGATGTGGGGCTCGATCCCAGGACCCCGGGATCATGACCTGAGCCGAAGGCAGACGCTTAACAACTGAGCCACCCAGGTACCCCTATTTTCACTTTAGTTTTAATATGATGTTTTCTTTCTTCCCCACAGCTGAGTAAGAAGACTTAGACCTATACCTTCACCATCAGCCAAAGTGTATTGGTCACTAACCTGAAACCAGCAACCATCACAGTCTATGACTACTACCTCCCAGGTTAGGGCTGAGATCTACCTGTGTCTCCCAACATATTTCTGCCTCTTTCTTCATGATAGCGCTCTTAATTTTACAAATACTTCTCCCCAAGCCAAATAGAACGTAATTACATTATTTGATCTCCTAAAACATGATAATTTAATTATATGTCACTCTTAAGTCTTCTGCACTAGGGATATTTTATCAGATGTGGTCCGTAGACCAAAAGAACAATACGGACCATTGTTCTTTAAGGACTAACTATTCTGAGTATTTTTGCTGTGATTAATAATTTACCACAATATTAGTGTTTGGAACTTTCCTGTAATTCTTAATATGCTCATAATCTATAGGGATCTTCTGAAAGGGGCTAACGCAGTAGTTTTCAAGAAGTATTTTCTCTTTGAATTCATGAGACCTGTAATGTAATGATACATGTCATTTCATTTTATAGATGAACAGGCAACAGTTCAGTACTCTGACCCCTGTGAATGAGGTAAGGGTGAGGTTTTAGGGTAGGGTGATAGAATTCAAAAGTTAAGGGGACCTTCTTCTGAGTTACTGTCTTTTGGAAGCTAATTTTTTATAGAAAGTGGGCTTTCCTTTTTTTTTCTTGTCTTTAACTTTTTTTTTTAATGTAAACTCTGTACCCAACGTGGAGCTCAAACTCACAACCCTGAAATCAAGAGTCACATGCTCTACTGACTGAGCCAGCCTGGCACCTCCATTTTTTGTCCCAAATTCTGAAAGGAAGAATAATAATCTTCATAGTTCACACCAGAAAAAGTTAAGAGTGGCATTTGTGTGAGGGCTTCTATGTGATTTTTATTTTTATTTTAAAGATTTATTTATTTTAGAGAGAGACAGAGCATGAGTAGGGGGAGGGGCAGAAGGAGAGAGAGAAGCAGACTCCCTGCTGAGCCCACGTGGAGCCCATTGACAGGGCTTGATCTCAGGACCCTGAGATCATGACCTGACCCAAAACCAAGAGTCAGATGCTTAAACTGAGCCACCCAGGCGCCCCTCTATGTGATTTTTAAAAACTGTATTTTTTTCTGATTGAAATTAATGAATTTTTAAAATTATTTTTACATTCTACATCTTTTTAATAGAAATACTAAGGGAAAAGTAAAGATTACCTGATTCTACTTCCCTGAGATAACACTATTAATAATCTTATCGTGCATTTGTGAGATTTTTTCCTAGATAGGAAAAAATGAGGACATGCCTGGCCAGCTCAGTCGGTAGAGCATGTGCTCTTGATGTCAGGGTGTGAGTTCAAGCCCCACCATTGGCATAGAGATAACTTTTAAAAAATAATTTAAAAAAATAAATGAATAAGAAAAGGGTCCTCTATACTTGTGAGGATTTTCTGAGTATAATGTCTTTTTTTTTTTTTTCCTCTCCCAGGATAGAAGTTGGAAAGAGACTAATTTAATCCTCTGTGACATTACTGGACAGCATTCTTCTGCTTCTTAAAGCAAAACACATTCAATCCACTAATGTGATTTCTCTGACTGACTAGTGAGTGAGTAACAGATGAGCAGGCTTGAACTTCAGCTACTTTCTACTACATCACAGATGCATAGGTGCTAGAATAAAGGGCTGTGGGAAATGGAGTAGGAATAATCACACAAAGGAGGAAGTGCATGGAAAAGACCACTGGGAGAGATGTGGTTTAGCCATGTAGGGGAACTCTCCAGAGAGGATATGGAGGTAGAGGATGATCCAGGGAAGATAAAAATGTCTTCCTGGAGGTTAAATCTAAGGAAAGATGTAATTTAGGGCTTTGGGAATAGATTAAAAATTTTTTTTTCTTTGAAAAGAAAATCCGTGTCCTTGGCTCTGTGCATATTTCTGTGGATACCAAAGGTTCTGTTTAAAGATGATGATCATCCTTTAACCAAAACTCACATTTTGGCTTCTTCATTAAACCTTTTGACCCAGACATGTCAGAGAATCATATTACGGATTCAGGGAGGGGTCAGAGTAGAGAATCCTAATTAAGGGACTGACTGTGTGTTCAGCCAGCCAGCACTGCAGGGCAAAACAGTGATTGATTACGAGAAGAGTAGCTGACCAGGATTCCCTATCTCTGTTTTTCTCCTTCAGGATTCCCCCAGCCTTTTCCTACAGGGGATACCTATTGTTGTGTAAACTCTTTCTGGAAGCAGTGGTTTTGTTTTAGAAACAGGACTGGAGGCAAAGTATGGGGGAAAAAAAGAGATGAATGATATTTAAACAGAGAAGATCTTCTAGGTAATCACACCTTTTAACCCTGGATATTCACTCTCTGATCTTGCTCCTCTAGATTTTAAATTTTGACCAAAAGAGTCAGGGGGAAAGTAAGTCCATGATGTAGAGATATTTCCCTAAGCCCAGGGCCATACTTGCAAAAACTATTCATTCCCTGTCTCCCCGCCCCTAGACTCTGCCCTGGACCTCCTAGGAGTTCCCAAAGTGAGAGAAGATGGGGAACATACCCAAAGGAGGTCGTCCCCAAACCTGCCTTACTCCTCGGGCATCACAAGAAGAGAATAGAGAGAACTCTAAAGAAAAGAGGGCACTCATGAATGTTCCTCCCATTCCTGAGCGCTCTACCCTCTGTTACATTTGGCTCTGTACTTCCTACCAGAGCCATCCCCTTTTTTGCAATGAAGGGGGATGGTGATCCTTAAGACTTAAGTTGTATCTGGATAGAACATTTTAAATGAATAGAGAAACATTCTTGTATCTTTTGGGCTTCAGATATGAGAAATCTTATGACTTAAATTATCAACTACACTAGCAGAAGGATGTAAATGAAAAAATTTATGCATTGTTCAACTTACTGAAATGTAAACATTTCTGCATATCTGAGAAGCAAGGTGGTTGTAAGGATTAAGGGACACTTGGTATTATAGTACTTACAGTACTCAAGACCTGCATTAATTATATGCCAGGTACTTTACCAGTTCTGGGAATGCGAAGATAAGTAAAATGAGGTTTGTATCCTCAAGTTGCTCACAGACTCGTGGAGGGAGAAAATAAATCAACCATTAAAATATAGAGTGGGAAGGAAGGAAGAAAAGGAGGAAAGTGCAGATAGAAGAAGTACAAAAAGCTTTGGGAGTACATAGGAGAGGCACCTTCCTAGACTGAGGTGAAGGGGTGGTCAAAACAGCTTTTCCAGGTCAATGGATGCCTGAGCTGGATGAGCAACCACCAGAAAATGAAGGAGGAAGCAGGTTTGGATAAAGTGGGCTGCATATGAAAGACAAAGAGGTAGAAGCAAGCATGGTATTTCATCCAAGTAGTTTAGTGCACTCATGGATTGTGTGTATGTGTGTGTGTCAAAAAGTTAGATTGAGAAAGTGGAGAGAAATTAGGTCATGACTTGCTTTTTAGAAAGATCATTCTAGCAGGGCACCTGGCTGGCTCAGTCAGAGGAACATGCAACTCTTGATCTCGGGGTTGTGGGTTTGAGCCCCACATTGGGTTAGAGCTTGCTTAAATAAACAAACTTAAAAAAAAGAGAAAGATCATTCTAGCAACAGAATGAAGAATGAAGAGAAGAGTAAAGCTGAAGTTCTCAAAACTGTCTAGAAAGTGCTGCAGTAACCTGGACAGGGGCTGGGGAGCTACAGTGGGCACGAAGAGGAGCCATCTACAGAAGTTACTCCATAGAGGAGATAGCATCAGGAGGACTTAGTGATGTCAAAGACAAAAGGCACCAGACAATTGAGATGATTTTATTCAGGCTATTGCAATAGAGTACATGTTTGTTAATGAAGAATGTCTCGGAAAAGGAAAGGGACCTGAGGTTTTATAAAGTTAGGAAAACAAAGGATGCATGAATCTTTTTTTTTTAAGATTTTATTTATTTATTTGAGAGAGAGAGAATGAGAGATAGAGAGCACGAGAGGAAAGAGGGTCAGAGGGAGAAGCAGACTCCCCTCTGAGCAGGGAGCCCGATGCGGGACTCGATCCCGGGACTCCAGGATCATGACCTGAGCCGAAGGCAGTCGCTTAACCAACTGAACCACCCAGGCACCCAAAGATGCATGAATCTTACTGGAGTTGTGAGGAAGGGTAGAGATGGGTCTTTTTTGGAATATCTGAGAATAGGGTGGTTCTTTAGATTTAGCTGTTCTTTAGATTTTAGGTTCTTCAGATTTACCCAGAACACAAAAGGTAATGGGATTTTGGAAAACAAAGAAAATGGGGGTATTTCTTAACTGGCCTGTTTTCTAGAAGCATAGGGTTCAGGTAAAACTCACCACTGTCAGTAATTAGTTGGGTATAAGACAGGAGAGTCAGAGAAGAGTCTGGGAAGACTGCCAGTATTCTAGATTGTAGAATACATAAGAGAGGAAAACCTTTTCCTCTAATCTCTTATATTGAGTGTCTGGGACCTGTGAATTAAATTGGCAAAAAACAGATTAGCAGGAGAAAAGATCTATTTGTATGCACCTAGTCACTTCACAGGAAAAAAATGAAAACCCCAAGAATCGGTTAGTTAGGCCTGGGGGCTTATATCACCATTTTAACAAAGGGTGATACTGTTGTGGGAGAAATTACCAAAGGAAAAGGGGTTTGGACTTCTAGGGGCAATGACATTGTGGGAAGGTAAATAAATATAGGGGGAAAGGAATAGAAGATTAAGGTTATTTTAGTAAGGTTTACTTGTGCAGATACAAGTTAATGCTGACTGGGCACCTGGGTGGCTCATTAGGTTAAGTGTCTGCTTTTGGCTCAGGTCATGATCTTGGGGTCCTGGGATCGAGTCCTGCGTTGGGCTTCCTGCTCAACAGGGAGTCTGCTTCTCCCTCTCCCTCTGCTCCTTCTCTCTCTGTCTTGCTCACCCTCTCTCTCAAATCAGTCAATAAAACCTTAAAAAAAAAGGTTAATGCTGACTTTCCATCTCCTGTGATAAAGGTTGTTCTCCTGGTATGGGAGAGGGGAGGGGAGACACTCTCACAAAAGGAAATGAATGCCCTGCTTTCATTTCATTCCAGGCAGAAAGGGGGAATGAGGAAGGCAGAGAGTTCTTCCTGTATCTGCTTCCTAGATACACCTTTGGTCTCCCCTTATTTCTTTAGGAACACCAAACTACATTTAGTTCCCTCTTTCTACTATGTTCTCTGATAATTTTGAAATACACTTTTTATGCTGCTTGCAAAGCCTCTCCATCCTTCTGCCTGGAGGACTACCTATACGGTATGGCCTTCAAGGTGTGTTTTCTACTTTAGTAAGTAAGTCTTCCACAAGAATTCCTCTCCATTCCCATAGCACTTTGTGCTTCCTACTGAGGACTTACCAAACTGGGTTCACATTTCTGTTAATACCCCCATGTTTCCCACCAGAATGTAAGACCCTTGAGTGCTTATGCCTTATAGTATACACTGCTAATGCCTCTCCATCATCCATTCTCTTCTTCTTCACTAAGGAAAAGCACAGTTGTATTTGGAACAGTAATGTACCCAACTATAATACTCATCTCAGAATTACTTACATTAGGGGAGGCAGTGGGGCAGAATTCTAGCCAAAAAAGGTAACTGGAAGTCTCTGGAAATAAATCCCTTCTGAATGAGATGACAAAAGCTCACAAAGGGAAAGCTTTTGGCCCTTATTCCTTCTTCCTGACTGGAACAAGGACAAGAATCCTGGAGGAAGAGCATCCTTTTGCAATCATGCAGATAAAAGCCATATGCTGAAGATGGGAGAGCAGAAACAAGAAAGGAGTTTGGGTGCTTGATGACATCACAGATCAGTCCTGTCCTTGGACATTTTGGATAAGTAATGAAAATAATAAATGGCTTACTTTTTTTTTAACTTTTTATTTTTATTTTTTTTAAAGATTTTATTTATTTATTTGAGAGAGAGAATGAGAGAGAGAGAGAGAGAGAGAGCGAGCACGCGCACATGAGAGAGGGGAGGGTCAGAGGGAGAAGCAGACTCCCCGCCAAGCAGGGAACCCGATGTAGGACTCGATCCCGGGACTCCAGGATCATGACCTGAGCCGAAGGCAGTCGCTTAACCAACTGAGCCACCCAGGCGCCCCTTTTTTAACTTTTTAAAAGAGATTTTATTTATTTGAGAGAGAGAGAGCAGGGGAGGGGCAGAGAGAGAGAGAGGGAGAGAAGCAGATTCCCTGCTGAGCGGGGAGCCTGACACAGGGCTTGATCCCAGGACCCTGAGATCATGACCTGAGCTGAAGTCAAATGCTCAACTGACTGAGCCACCCAAATGCCCCTAAACTTACTGAAGTATAATAAACATATATAGAAAGTACACATATTATAAATATGTAGTTCAATGAATTAAAACAAATTTAAAAACACCCATGCAACTAGCATTCTAGAATGTTACCAGCATCCTTGAAGCCACTCTCCAATTCTGGTCACCAACCCCCAAGGGTAACCACAACAGTAACTTCTAAGAGCACAGATTATATTTGCCTGTGCTCTTTGCATATAA